TTTCACTCTTAATCAAATTGTTTTATTTTCCTAATTCGTGGAACGTATGCGGAAAAGCATATTATTCTATCCACAAAGCCAAACTACGACAAACTGCAATAATTTTTTTTTGGCGTTATAAAATTAAAAATTTTCATTCTAGAAAATGAGACACAATTTGGGCATTCTTCGCATGCATGAGAAAAGAGCGTAACAATCGGACGTTTTCGAGGCATCAGAATGCGGTGGCCAATTTATAATTTTATTTTATCATTGTGTTTTATAATATTTCATCTTTATTTAATATTCCATGAATATCACAGAAATGCATAAATGTACTAATTGGCAATAAAATTCGGGGGCAAGCATTTAAATGTACAAAATGCGTTCACAACTGAAATAAACGATTTGTTATGCAAAAAACCAACATGAAAAAGCATCATAAATGAGAAGCTAAAAATTTATAACAAAAATTGGCATCACGAAGTGGTTTTAAGCAAAGAAATGGTTTTTTTTCCTATATATATGAAAATTATAAGAAAAAATTTTCCACCTATAATTTAGCCTAACCTTAACATGCAAAATAAATGGCAGATATTATGTTTAATGAAAAAATTTCCCCGGGTATCCGACACTAAAAAATTTTGTAAGTTAATCGTTGAAAAGTGAATGTAGAAAAACATCAAAGATTTAAAATCATCACAAGAACAATATTACTTTCCTATATATGAAAGGTACTGTTTCATATCTAATACAGAAGGCGACAAAACCAACATTTATCATCAAAATCAAAATTGTCGTCAAAAAGAGCAACAAATGTGCAGTTATTCCAATAAAATATGCAATTTTTCATGTAATCATATCATATGGAAAAGGATTAGGATGACATTTGCATTTGAGCCTAGGGTTAGGCTTAGGATGATACCTATACTTACACCATTAGAAGCTGCAACATTTTTCTCTTCATTATCACTCGCTCAGATGTATTATAACCATTCAATATACTATATTTTATTAAACAAAGCAGACAGGATTATTTAATACTGCACAATTGATTAAATATTTCACCATACGATGACATTTAATCCCAGCTATTCATCAATTTCATTTATGCAAATGTTACTCCATTTTGTCAACCAAACTTTTGAAAATTGTCCCATCTTTTCAAACATCGCTTATGTTGAAATTCTTTTTGATAATAGCAGTGGAATATGTCAAAAAGCAATAATTAGCAAATTTCAGGTGATGCGTCCATCCGACGAAGTTCCCATCAGTGATATTATCAATAGGTGTGTGGATGCGACTTTATTAAATGAACCCATTAAATCGAAAATGATTAGAATCTCATTCCTCACGTCGTATTACTGAAATGATGGAACAATATCCTTCCTAAGTAATCCTTTCGGATTCAAAAGAGCATTCATAAACTACCAGTTGGGCGAGAGAAAAACGAAAATGTAAAAGAAAAAAAAAAAAAACGATAAACAACAGGCAGATTAAAAACTGTTTGAACCTTTGATCTTTAATTGAAATAAAAAGCTTTCATTTGAATATTTCTATCATTTCATAAAATTCTGTCCCATCATGTTCTTCACTGTATCTATAACACCAATCATCTGGTTCAATCTTCTGCTTTGCATCGCTTCTAATAAAAATGAAACTTCCCATCTACCTAATTTTGGTGCTGCTGATAAAATTGTTACAAATAATACTTATTCTGATATCTCAGACAGCTTTGATTACAACAATTTTGAGCCATTGTTTGGCTCAGAATTTCCATCCGATCCTTCGCAGTTGATTGATTTCGATCAGTTGAGTGAAATTGAGGATATAAGTAGCAAAGAATCGATACCCGAGATCACAAATGCTCCTCATCCTGGCTTTTCAAACAGCCATGGTTTGTTGGGTCGCACTAATTTGGGCTCATTACTTGGTTCATATACAGATTCAAATAGGAATGTGTGGAGAGATGCTAATGGAGAATTAAAAACAAATGATGATAAAGCACGATATCCTATTATTAGAGGTGAGACTTTTGCTTCAAATGTGTGAAAAGTGAACAGCTTCTTGTGATCTAAGTTATTTAGATGCTCAAAGTGGAACTTCTTCGCCACTTAATGTCGACACCGATGACATTATTACATATATGCACTTACCTGGTTCACAACAAAATGCGGTTCCGATCTATTTTCACCAACTTACTCTTTCCCCAGATGACACATCCGATCAACACGGAAATGCTGAACAGAACAATATGGGCAATAAGCACTTCTCGGATAACTTGATTGTCCCCGACTACAGGGAAAATACCAATGAACGATCAGAAACAGGTAATGACAAATTACATAACGATTTCTCGCTCTATCTTTTATAGTTCTTTATTTTCATCAGCAGCATGAAATTGATGAAGCGACATTAAAAGTATGGTTTTTACTTTATATATGTGAGAAGATAAATAAACTTTCTATCTAAGTTATTCAAAATGCAATATGATACTTTTTTTTATGGCACTGACATTTTTGTGATTTTCACATTACTCAACTACAAAATGGTGTAGTAGATTTATTAATTGCAAAAATAAATGTTTTGACATGAATTTTTCAGATAAGAGAAAGTATATTTGTCATTACCCCGGGTGTAATATGATCACGGAAAATTACAAAGAATATGTAATACATAAGAAAACACACGGTCAGCCCTTCATCTATGAATGCAAAGTGCCCGGTTGTGGGAAGACATTCCACCATGATTCATCATTTCGCAATCACAAACAGATGCATGAACCTAATCCTCAGTGCGAGGGCTGTGGCAAATTCTTCGCCACCAGGAATGCACTGTGTCGTCATAAGAGGATCTGCCAAACAAAATCTCGTTAGTTTGCAAATTTAACAAAAAAAAAAATTCATATGTGAGTCTAAAATGGAGTGCCTGTGAAATGAACTATGGAGCACCTGTTGGACCAAGATAGTTGATACAACGGAAAATTCACAATTACATTTTGTTGCAAGGCTGTTGAAAGTTCAATAACTCTAAGGAGAAAAAGAAATTCCCAAGATTTTAGCTACTCTATTTACCAAAACTTATATCCAATGCAAGATCGATACATATATATGCTCAAAAATAATTAAGCAATTTCTTTTTCGTGATCTAAATTATTTGAAATGGAATGTATTTCACTGAAGTAATATTTTTATGGTTTATTAGATTACTTAATTAGCTGCCAAACACCATAATAAAATATCAATTGCAAAAACAAATATATTAAAAGTTTTTTAGACAAACAAAGCTACAAATGTCTCTATCCTGGGTGTGCTGTGATCGCGAAAAGTTACAACGAATATATAACACATAGGAAGACACATGGTCAGCCCTTCATCTATGAATGCAGAGTGCCCGATTGTGGGCGAACATTCGACTATGAACCATCATTTTGCCATCACAAGCAAACGCATGAACCTCGTCCTCAGTGCGAGGGTTGTGGCAAATTCTTCATCAGTAGGAATGGACTGCATTGTCATAAAAAGAGCTGCAAATCCCGTTAGTTTCCAAATTTAGCAAAATTTTAAACAGATATGTCAACCTGAAATAGAATGTGTGTGAAATGTATTATGAAACATTTGCGCGAACGCTGGGTGACAATACAAAATTCATTAGACACACTCATTAAGATGCTATATATTTTTTTTTGCACTCAGTACTACTACACACGACCTAAGAATCAATTGCTTAAAAATGTGTTGACAGTGGTGACAATGGCGCTTCAATATACAAACATCAACAAACATTGAAAATATCCTTTCACTCTTAATCAAATTGCTTTATTTTCCTAATTCGTAGAACGTATGCGGAAAAGCATATTATTGCTATCCACAAAGCCAAACTACGACAAACTGCAATAATTTTTTTTTGGCGTTATAAAATTAAAAATTTTCATTCTAGAAAATGAGACACAATTTGGGCATTCTTCGCATGCATGAGAAAAGAGCGTAACAATCGGACGTTTTCGAGGCATCAGAATGTGGTGGCCAATTTATAATTTTATTTTATCATTGTGTTTTATAATATTTCATCTTTATTTAATATTCCATGAATATCACAGAAATGCATAAATGTACTAATTGGCAATAAAATTCGGGGGCAAGCATTTAAATGTACAAAATGCGTTCACAACTGAAATAAACGATTTGTTATGCAAAAAACCAACATGAAAAAGCATCATAAATGAGAAGCTAAAAATTTATAACAAAAATTGGCATCACGAAGTGGTTTTAAGCAAAGAAATGGTTTTTTTTCCTATATATATGAAAATTATAAGAAAAAATTTTCCACCTATAATTTAGCCTAACCTTAACATGCAAAATAAATGGCAGATATTATGTTTAATGAAAAAATTTCCCCGGGTATCCGACACTAAAAAATTTTGTAAGTTAATCGTTGAAAAGTGAATGTAGAAAAACATCAAAGATTTAAAATCATCACAAGAACAATATTACTTTCCTATATATGAAAGGTACTGTTTCATATCTAATACAGAAGGCGACAAAACCAACATTTATCATCAAAATCAAAATTGTCGTCAAAAAGAGCAACAAATGTGCAGTTATTCCAATAAAATATGCAATTTTTCATGTAATCATATCATATGGAAAAGGATTAGGATGACATTTGCATTTGAGCCTAGGGTTAGGCTTAGGATGATACCTATACTTACACCATTAGAAGCTGCAACATTTTTCTCTTCATTATCACTCGCTCAGATGTATTATAACCATTCAATATACTATATTTTATTAAACAAAGCAGACAGGATTATTTAATACTGCACAATTGATTAAATATTTCACCATACGATGACATTTAATCCCAGCTATTCATCAATTTCATTTATGCAAATGTTACTCCATTTTGTCAACCAAACTTTTGAAAATTGTCCCATCTTTTCAAACATCGCTTATGTTGAAATTCTTTTTGATAATAGCAGTGGAATATGTCAAAAAGCAATAATTAGCAAATTTCAGGTGATGCGTCCATCCGACGAAGTTCCCATCAGTGATATTATCAATAGGTGTGTGGATGCGACTTTATTAAATGAACCCATTAAATCGAAAATGATTAGAATCTCATTCCTCACGTCGTATTACTGAAATGATGGAACAATATCCTTCCTAAGTAATCCTTTCGGATTCAAAAGAGCATTCATAAACTACCAGTTGGGCGAGAGAAAAACGAAAATGTAAAAGAAAAAAAAAAAAAACGATAAACAACAGGCAGATTAAAAACTGTTTGAACCTTTGATCTTTAATTGAAATAAAAAGCTTTCATTTGAATATTTCTATCATTTCATAAAATTCTGTCCCATCATGTTCTTCACTGTATCTATAACACCAATCATCTGGTTCAATCTTCTGCTTTGCATCGCTTCTAATAAAAATGAAACTTCCCATCTACCTAATTTTGGTGCTGCTGATAAAATTGTTACAAATAATACTTATTCTGATATCTCAGACAGCTTTGATTACAACAATTTTGAGCCATTGTTTGGCTCAGAATTTCCATCCGATCCTTCGCAGTTGATTGATTTCGATCAGTTGAGTGAAATTGAGGATATAAGTAGCAAAGAATCGATACCCGAGATCACAAATGCTCCTCATCCTGGCTTTTCAAACAGCCATGGTTTGTTGGGTCGCACTAATTTGGGCTCATTACTTGGTTCATATACAGATTCAAATAGGAATGTGTGGAGAGATGCTAATGGAGAATTAAAAACAAATGATGATAAAGCACGATATCCTATCATTAGAGGTGAGACTTTTGCTTCAAATGTGTGAAAAGTGAACAGCTTCTTGTGATCTAAGTTATTTAGATGCTCAAAGTGGAACTTCTTCGCCACTTAATGTCGACACCGATGACATTATTACATATATGCACTTACCTGGTTCACAACAAAATGCGGTTCCGATCTATTTTCACCAACTTACTCTTTCCCCAGATGACACATCCGATCAACACGGAAATGCTGAACAGAACAATATGGGCAATAAGCACTTCTCGGATAACTTGATTGTCCCCGACTACAGGGAAAATACCAATGAACGATCAGAAACAGGTAATGACAAATTACATAACGATTTCTCGCTCTATCTTTTATAGTTCTTTATTTTCATCAGCAGCATGAAATTGATGAAGCGACATTAAAAGTATGGTTTTTACTTTATATATGTGAGAAGATAAATAAACTTTCTATCTAAGTTATTCAAAATGCAATATGATACTTTTTTTTATGGCACTGACATTTTTGTGATTTTCACATTACTCAACTACAAAATGGTGTAGTAGATTTATTAATTGCAAAAATAAATGTTTTGACATGAATTTTTCAGATAAGAGAAAGTATATTTGTCATTACCCGGGTGTAATATGATCACGGAAAATTACAAAGAATATGTAATACATAAGAAAACACACGGTCAGCCCTTCATCTATGAATGCAAAGTGCCCGGTTGTGGGAAGACATTCCACCATGATTCATCATTTCGCAATCACAAACAGATGCATGAACCTAATCCTCAGTGCGAGGGCTGTGGCAAATTCTTCGCCACCAGGAATGCACTGTGTCGTCATAAGAGGATCTGCCAAACAAAATCTCGTTAGTTTGCAAATTTAACAAAAAAAAAAATTCATATGTGAGTCTAAAATGGAGTGCCTGTGAAATGAACTATGGAGCACCTGTTGGACCAAGATAGTTGATACAACGGAAAATTCACAATTACATTTTGTTGCAAGGCTGTTGAAAGTTCAATAACTCTAAGGAGAAAAAGAAATTCCCAAGATTTTAGCTACTCTATTTACCAAAACTTATATCCAATGCAAGATCGATACATATATATGCTCAAAAATAATTAAGCAATTTCTTTTTCGTGATCTAAATTATTTGAAATGGAATGTATTTCACTGAAGTAATATTTTTATGGTTTATTAGATTACTTAATTAGCTGCCAAACACCATAATAAAATATCAATTGCAAAAACAAATATATTAAAAGTTTTTTAGACAAACAAAGCTACAAATGTCTCTATCCTGGGTGTGCTGTGATCGCGAAAAGTTACAACGAATATATAACACATAGGAAGACACATGGTCAGCCCTTCATCTATGAATGCAGAGTGCCCGATTGTGGGCGAACATTCGACTATGAACCATCATTTTGCCATCACAAGCAAACGCATGAACCTCGTCCTCAGTGCGAGGGTTGTGGCAAATTCTTCATCAGTAGGAATGGACTGCATTGTCATAAAAAGAGCTGCAAATCCCGTTAGTTTCCAAATTTAGCAAAATTTTAAACAGATATGTCAACCTGAAATAGAATGTGTGTGAAATGTATTATGAAACATTTGCGCGAACGCTGGGTGACAATACAAAATTCATTAGACACACTCATTAAGATGCTATATATTTTTTTTTGCACTCAGTACTACTACACACGACCTAAGAATCAATTGCTTAAAAATGTGTTGACAGTGGTGACAATGGCGCTTCAATATACAAACATCAACAAACATTGAAAATATCCTTTCACTCTTAATCAAATTGCTTTATTTTCCTAATTCGTAGAACGTATGCGGAAAAGCATATTATTGCTATCCACAAAGCCAAACTACGACAAACTGCAATAATTTTTTTTTGGCGTTATAAAATTAAAAATTTTCATTCTAGAAAATGAGACACAATTTGGGCATTCTTCGCATGCATGAGAAAAGAGCGTAACAATCGGACGTTTTCGAGGCATCAGAATGCGGTGGCCAATTTATAATTTTATTTTATCATTGTGTTTTATAATATTTCATCTTTATTTAATATTCCATGAATATCACAGAAATGCATAAATGTACTAATTGGCAATAAAATTCGGGGGCAAGCATTTAAATGTACAAAATGCGTTCACAACTGAAATAAACGATTTGTTATGCAAAAAACCAACATGAAAAAGCATCATAAATGAGAAGCTAAAAATTTATAACAAAAATTGGCATCACGAAGTGGTTTTAAGCAAAGAAATGGTTTTTTTTCCTATATATATGAAAATTATAAGAAAAAATTTTCCACCTATAATTTAGCCTAACCTTAACATTCAAAATAAATGGCAGATATTATGTTTAATGAAAAAATTTCCCCGGGTATCCGACACTAAAAAATTTTGTAAGTTAATCGTTGAAAAGTGAATGTAGAAAAACATCAAAGATTTACAATCATCACAAGAACAATATTACTTTCCTATATATGAAAGGTACTGTTTCATATCTAATACAGAAGGTGACAAAACCAACATTTATCATCAAAATCAAAATTGTCGTCAAAAAGAGCAACAAATGTGCAGTTATTCCAATAAAATATGCAATTTTTCATGTAATCATATCATATGGAAAAGGATTAGGATGACATTTGCATTTGAGCCTAGGGTTAGGCTTAGGATGATACCTATACTTACACCATTAGAAGCTGCAACATTTTTCTCTTCATTATCACTCGCTCAGATGTATTATAACCATTCAATATACTATATTTTATTAAACAAAGCAGACAGGATTATTTAATACTGCACAATTGATTAAATATTTCACCATACGATGACATTTAATCCCAGCTATTCATCAATTTCATTTATGCAAATGTTACTCCATTTTGTCAACCAAACTTTTGAAAATTGTCCCATCTTTTCAAACATCGCTTATGTTGAAATTCTTTTTGATAATAGCAGTGGAATATGTCAAAAAGCAATAATTAGCAAATTTCAGGTGATGCGTCCATCCGACGAAGTTCCCATCAGTGATATTATCAATAGGTGTGTGGATGCGACTTTATTAAATGAACCCATTAAATCGAAAATGATTAGAATCTCATTCCTCACGTCGTATTACTGAAATGATGGAACAATATCCTTCCTAAGTAATCCTTTCGGATTCAAAAGAGCATTCATAAACTACCAGTTGGGCGAGAGAAAAACGAAAATGTAAAAGAAAAAAAAAAAAAAACGATAAACAACAGGCAGATTAAAAACTGTTTGAACCTTTGATCTTTAATTGAAATAAAAAGCTTTCATTTGAATATTTCTGTCATTTCATAAAATTCTGTCCCATCATGTTCTTCACTGTATCTATAACACCAATCATCTGGTTCAATCTTCTGCTTTGCATCGCTTCTAATAAAAATGAAACTTCCCATCTACCTAATTTTGGTGCTGCTGATAAAATTGTTACAAATAATACTTATTCTGATATCTCAGACAGCTTTGATTACAACAATTTTGAGCCATTGTTTGGCTCAGAATTTCCATCCGATCCTTCGCAGTTGATTGATTTCGATCAGTTGAGTGAAATTGAGGATATAAGTAGCAAAGAATCGATACCCGAGATCACAAATGCTCCTCATCCTGGCTTTTCAAACAGCCATGGTTTGTTGGGTCGCACTAATTTGGGCTCATTACTTGGTTCATATACAGATTCAAATAGGAATGTGTGGAGAGATGCTAATGGAGAATTAAAAACAAATGATGATAAAGCACGATATCCTATCATTAGAGGTGAGACTTTTGCTTCAAATGTGTGAAAAGTGAACAGCTTCTTGTGATCTAAGTTATTTAGATGCTCAAAGTGAAACTTCTTCGCCACTTAATGTCGACACCGATGACATTATTACATATATGCACTTACCTGGTTCACAACAAAATGCGGTTCCGATCTATTTTCACCAACTTACTCTTTCCCCAGATGACACATCCGATCAACACGGAAATGCTGAACAGAACAATATGGGCAATAAGCACTTCTCGGATAACTTGATTGTCCCCGACTACAGGGAAAATACCAATGAACGATCAGAAACAGGTAATGACAAATTACATAACGATTTCTCGCTCTATCTTTTATAGTTCTTTATTTTCATCAGCAGCATGAAATTGATGAAGCGACATTAAAAGTATGGTTTTTACTTTATATATGTGAGAAGATAAATAAACTTTCTATCTAAGTTATTCAAAATGCAATATGATACTTTTTTTTATGGCACTGACATTTTTGTGATTTTCACATTACTTAACTACAAAATGGTGTAATAGATTTATTAATTGCAAAAATACATTTTTTGACATGGATTTTTCAGATAACAAAAAGTATATTTGTCATTATCCCGGCTGTACTGTGATCACAAAAGATTACAAAGAATATATAACACATAAGAAATCTCACGGTCAGCCCTTCATCTATGAATGCAAAGTGCCCGGTTGTGGGAAGACATTCCACCATGATTCATCATTTCGCAATCACAAACAGATGCATGAACCTAATCCTCAGTGCGAGGGCTGTGGCAAATTCTTCGCCACCAGGAATGCACTGTGTCGTCATAAGAGGATCTGCCAAACAAAATCTCGTTAGTTTGCAAATTTAACAAAAAAAAAAATTCATATGTGAGTCTAAAATGGAGTGCCTGTGAAATGAACTATGGAGCACCTGTTGGACCAAGATAGTTGATACAACGGAAAATTCACAATTACATTTTGTTGCAAGGCTGTTGAAAGTTCAATAACTCTAAGGAGAAAAAGAAATCCCCAAGATTTTAGCTACTCTATTTACCAAAACTTATATCCAATGCAAGATCGATACATATATATGCTCAAAAATAATTAAGCAATTTCTTTTTCGTGATCTAAATTATTTGAAATGGAATGTATTTCACTGAAGTAATATTTTTATGGTTTATTAGATTACTTAATTAGCTGCCAAACACCATAATAAAATACCAATTGCAAAAACAAATATATTAAAAGTTTTTTAGACAAACAAAGCTACAAATGTCTCTATCCTGGGTGTGCTGTGATCGCGAAAAGTTACAACGAATATATAACACATAGGAAGACACATGGTCAGCCCTTCATCTATGAATGCAGAGTGCCCGATTGTGGGCGAACATTCGACTATGAACCATCATTTTGCAATCACAAGCAAACGCATGAACCTCGTCCTCAGTGCGAGGGTTGTGGCAAATTCTTCATCAGTAGGAATGGACTGCATTGTCATAAAAAGAGCTGCAAATCCCGTTAGTTTCCAAATTTAGCAAAATTTTAAACAGATATGTCAACCTGAAATAGAATGTGTGT